CTTTACCATTTCATAATTTCCTACAAACCTCAGCCACAACAATCCAAACCTCACTTCTTCCTGTTACATTTGTCGCAGCATACTCTCCACCTAAACTAGCAATACCTGAACTTAACTTCATTTCCTTCCTTAATTTCTTAGGACACCATTTCCTTATAGGTGCAGACCTTAATGCCAAACATCAGCAATGCGGCCAGAACCACGAATTCCTGCAGACGAAAATTGCTGTCTGCTCTTAATTCCCATAATAGCAACATCCTTTCCTCTGATACTCGTACATACTGGCCAATCGTAACCGTAATCCTGACCTTGACTTCTTCATTCACAAAGGTCTAGAGCTGCTAAATTTCTCAATTTCACGGCTCGATCTTTCCTCAGACCACATTCCACTAAATCTAACCCTTTTCGCATCTGCTATTCCCAGATTATCTCCTCCCTCATTCATCAGAAGCCCAGTCAACTGGAACCTTTTCCACCAAACAATAACAGATGCAATAGACCTCAGAGTATCCCTAAAAACCCCTCAAGACCTAGATAATGCAGTAAGTTCCTTCACCATCATGATCCAACAAGCAGTCTGTACTGCATCCTCACCACTCTCCAAAAAAATCTCTTAAAATGAATCCTTTGCCCTAAAACCTTACTGACCTCATTAAATCCAAACCCCAATCTAGGACCCTCTGGCAAAGAACCAGGCATCCTGATGATTGAAAATTATGCTATTACTATTCGAAACAGGTTAAAAAAGAACTGGCTTCCTTTAGATCCTAATCCTACAATTCCTACCTTTCTTTCCTCTCTACCGATGACAACTCCCTCTGGAAAGTGACCAAAAAAATCCTTAAATTCCAATTTATTTCCCACCCCCTCTGACGAGATGATGTAACCTGGGCTTCGTCAGATTAGACTAGAGCTGAATAATTTGCCAAACACCTATCCAATACTTTCACACCTCACCCCGAACTCCATCCCACCCACACTGTTGAAGTTAAAGAACTCCTTTCTTCTCCGATTCCTCTCTCCTTACCTCCTAAAGCTGTCAATCCCTCTAAGGTCAAATTCCTTATTAACCACTTTAAACCTCGAAAAATCCCCCTGGGCACGACGTCCTTACTTCCCAGATCCTTAGACAACTTCCCAAAAAGCAATCATATTCCTCACATTCCTATATTAACTGTACCCTCTGCACAACTCCCTTTCCTCTGATATGGAAACACTCCATAATCATCCTCTTCCGTAAACTAGGTAAAGCTGTTAATAATATCTCATCCTATAGACCAATAAGCTTGCTCCCGATCCTCTCAAAAATCTTTGAAAAATCCTTCTTAAATGTATCCTACCCATTCTCGAAACCCACAATATCCCTTTCCATCAGTTTGGATTCAGCTCAAGACATTCCACTGTTCAACAAGACCTTCATGTTGTTGACCATATATCCTCTGCACTTGAAAACATCCTTGTGAATATAATACTAGTTCCTTTTTGGATGTAGCGCAAGCTTTCAACCGGGCATGGCATGATGGCTTGCTTTTCAAGCTCAAAACCTACTTATCCCAATTGTTGTACCTAGTCCTCAAATCCTACTTTTCAAATCGTTCCTTTCAAGTCCGCTGCAGCACATAATTCTCCAAGTTTCACAGCTGACATCCCAACCCATCCTGATACCCTTCTAGCAACATTCGCTGACGATACCGCCATCCTATCATCCAACCCAGACTCTGAAACAGCATCCTTATACCTACAAAGACACATCTTCCTAATAGAGCAGTGATGCAACAATTGGTGCATCAAAATCAATGAATCCAAATGCAAGCATGTCACCTTTACCCTCCAACGCAGAACCTGTCCACAGATCCTTTTCAACTCTCTACCTGTTCCCATCTCAGACACAGTTCGATATCTTAAATTCTTGTAGATAAAAGACTAACATGGAAATCACATACCAGACTTAAAAGACCAGAACTTAACAGACGATTTGGCCCGTTATACAGACTACTTAACAGAAAATCTAACCTTTCAATTAAAAACAAACTATTAATATACAAGACAATACTGAAATTCATCTGGACCTATGGACTTGAACTGTGGGGGACAACTGAATTTCCGAACATCAAACGCATCCAATCCTTCCAGTCTAAAGTTCTCCGTATATTAGTCAATGCTCCTTATTATGTTACGAACAAAACCTTACATCATGTCCTTAACATCCCTTATGTCCTTGACGTTATTCCATCCCGATTCTCAAATTTTCATCAGAACCTAATCCCTTAGCACTATCCTTATCCAGTTCCAGTTATTCCTACAATCCTTCTAGAAGGTTGAAACGGCAGTGGCTTAGAGATCTTTTGTAAATAAGTCACTGGAGACTTGGCCAGCTTCTCCACTGGATTCCCATCCCAGTGATGCGGCTGAGAGCGAAGCGCTGGGATCTCTTGTAGTCTTGCCTTATCCTCCACACGTAGGAGAAGGAGCCTGACACAGAGCTCCCTCAGCTGATTATAAATAAGTATGAATGTGTTTTTAATTTTTTTTTAATTTAATGTTATCTCATGTTTGATTTATTCTGTTATTCCAAGTTTCCTTTTATTTTAAATACTTAATAGTTGACCGTTGTATTATTAAGGAAGGAGATGGTCCGGGGTGGCGGGCATGAATAGACTAAATAGTGGCAAAACTATTTTATGAAAAGCCAACATTTCAACCCAACTTTGCATGTCTTCTTCAGGGCTAGAATGGACAAGATACAAAAAGATATAGAGAATTGTGGAAGTTACATCATATTTAGATAAAAAATTGTAAACAATATGATTAAAATTATAAACAGTAAGTACATTAAAATATTAAGAACAGTAAGTTGTATAAACAGAGTAAGCTAAGTAAAAAGATCCTATACTGAAGTAAATAGATGGTAACAATTGTTGTAGTATAAAATAAAATATAATATATGCAATTGTGAATATACTCATACGAAGATTTACATATATAGACATTTACATACATAGAAGTAAAATATAAATATAAAAATAAAAGATCATACATTGCAGAACTAATTTTGAAGTATAGAGAGATATAGCCGTCAGTGCTTTTTAGGAGGTTTAAGAAGGGGAGTGAATTGTTAACTTCTTTCTCTATAGTGAAATGAAGACAGGGGTGGTAAGAGTTGAATGAGAAAAGAATTTGAGGAATGCTGTCAGGGTTAGGAACAAGGAGGAGGTCATCGACATATTTTTTAATGAAAATGATGTTTTGATGGAAAGAAGGGAGAAAGTCTAGAAGGTCATTGAGAACAATATTGGAAATAGCGCACAATGGACCCAAAGGGGTCGACGTGCTTAAAGCCAACATTAAAAAAAAAAAAAATATTGGAAATATCTGGTGCTAAAGAATTTCCCATGGCTAGGCCTGAAGTCTGGTTAAAGAATTTTCCTTGGAAAGTGAGGTATCCGGGTCTGCAACAAGTCTCAAGGTATGAGGAGAGTTTGAGGGTGGTGTGGGATTCGATGATTGTCCAGTTTTTCCATACAATGTAGAGGACTTTGTCTATTGGGATGTTGGTAAACAAGATTTCGACGTCTAGGGGAACAAGGATAAAGTTGTCAGGAATATGGAGAGAAGATGACTCATCTTCTCACTATTTAGTCTATTTATGACCACCACCCTAGACCATCTCCTTCCTTTCTTTTCTTTCGTTATAATTTTCTATTGTTTTTGTTTTTATTGTATATATGGTATGATTGTATTTCATACTCAATGCCCTTAATTGAGGCAAAATGAATTTTTTCTCAATAAAAAAAAAAGATTTCTATTTGCCGTTTACACAAATGACCTCTCGCTCTCCATGCATTCCTCCCAATAACACCCCTTTTGTACCATTCTGCAATTAAACTTCTTTCTTCTCATCATTTTATTTAATTCTCAAAGAAAATCTAAACCAAATTAGTTATTGCATTGCGTGACCTCTACCAGTCATTCTTTCCATCTTACTTCTCTAATCCTCTTCAGTTTAAAATCCTGTCCTTTAACAGAAATAAACATACATTATCACAACCTTAATTTCATAACTTTTGATTTTTTTTTTTTTTAATGTAATCATAAGTTTGATTTTTCTAAAATAACATTCTAATTCTAAAATTAAGTTTTGAGCGAATCTTGAAGTTTGTCACATTCATTAGCTGTTAGTTGTTTTAAGAATTCTGTGAAGCCTCTCTATACTAATTAATATTATGTTTCTTAAAACTACCAACAGATAATGAATATGACAAACTTCAAGATTCACTCTAAACTTTATTTTAGAATTAGAATATAGTTTAGGAGTTAGGAATTAAGTCCTAAACTTATTTATAATAATCATTCTATTAATAACATAAATAATAGAAGAGAAGAATGTTTGGGGTGATCAGTAAAAAAAAATTTAGTAAAAATAAATAATTGTATATATATTTTTTCATAATTATAATTTATAATTTTTATAAAATAAATATAATTATTTATTTTTACTAATTTTTTTTTTTTTTTTTGACTGATCTCCACAACCATTCTTCTCTTCAATTATTCACTATAGTCAACCATCAATCCACAATACAATACAATATAAATATAAATACATTTTTTTTTAAATTATTTTTATTTTGTTTTGTTTTTTATTTTAATATTTCATTTAATTTTTAGTTTTAAAATAATTCTTAATTTTCTCTCTAGGACTCTTACATCAACATACCTTTTGTTAATTTTTTTTGTGTGTTTGTGTGTGTACATGTGCGTGTGCTTGCCTGTATTTGCATATGTGTTGTGTGTGTTTGAGTATCCTCATACTATTGTGTGTGTGTTTATCTATATATACATATGTTGTGTGTGTATAAATGCTTTTGTGTATGTGTATTTTCTATGTGTTAGAATTATATGCATAATATGAGATAATTTTTATAATAACATAATATATTTACATTTTAATTTAAATTAATTTTAAGTCAGTAATTTGTTTTCCATTATTTCTTTAATAGGTTTTAAATTTGATAGGACACTCAGACAAACGAGATCCTAAAGACTTTCTGCATCGTACTCTCATGGCGTTATTTCTTCTGCAGGTTTTAAGACATGGTGGCTATTTTAACGGAAAATTTAATAAAGGTAAACCAATTTTCAAATTTATAAAACTTTTTTTTTACTTCTCCGGGTATAAATACTCACTATAAAAATAAATTAGTTGAACAAATATGTAAATAATAAATATAAAACAAACATTTAAACTGCTTTAATGGTACTGGTGAATAGATTACTAGTATTTTTTAATTTACATTTCAAAGCTAATATGTAGTCAAACACAGTTGTGTTTATAAAATTTAATTGATAAATAAAAAAATTAATCTGTTCTAGTGTTTCCATTTTTTTTTTTTTTTTTTTTTTTTTTTTTTTTTTTTTTTTTTTTTTTTTTTTTTTTTTTTTTTTTTTTTTTTTTTTTTTTTTTTTTTTGTTAAATCATCTATGTTAACCAAAGTTTATAAACAGTTTCAGGTGGAGAGTCCTCATCATCCAGTGAAAGTATCGGTAAGTTTTATTTTATTGAGAAACCTAACATAATTAAATTTTTCAAGTAAATCTTTAAAAAAATGTTCAACAGTGTTAACTGAGGATGAATTGGAAATTGGAACCCTTCTTCTAAAGTTCCTGCAAATATTGCAGTATAATGCCCATGAAATTTATGAAACAGTCTTTCCAAAGGATGATAACAAAACAAAAGCAGTTACCTGTTATGTGGCTCTTGGGATCTATCCATCATCAGCCATTTTTAATCACGAATGCCAACCTACACTAGCAAGGTTTGTAATTTTTCTGTTTTCATTAGTGCTACAACAACATATTGTAGAAACCTCAACCCCTCTTAACCACTTTTCATTTTTCTCTACCATCAAGTATCCAGCCAGCTTCACACTTTCCACCTTTTTATAGTCCAGGTAGGTTTATTTAGTAACTAGATGAAAGAACACCATCTCTAATCCAAGCAGTCCATATGTATCCTGGTAGATGACCTCACTTGGACATATTCTTGTTTTTTAAATTCATAGGATGTGCCCTATTAGTAATTATTCTCAGAAAAATTGTCTGAGCTTTACTGCAACCTCCTTCTTGCAATGTTATCACACCCTTCTGCTTCTTCCTTTATCCCAGTTTTACTGTTAGACACCACCATGTCTCCTCCAGTGCTTCCAGAAACTCGTGAAACAATAACTTGCATAGAGCTGGACTGAAAGACTGATCCATGAGGTTCTTCCTTCTCTCATTAAAATTACCTCTAATCTTACAAACCTGTCCTGGAAGTAATTAGTGTGTAAAATACCCTTATCCTGTCTTCACTATTTTACGGCTTGTTCCTCTTTTATATCCCTCCCTAAAAATATAAATAAATTTATTTTTTTCTTGCAGGTTTAGTAGTTCTATAATAAAATTCCATATATAAATATATATAATTAGTAATTTCCCTAAAAGAGCCGAGGTTTCCAAATAACTATAGCATCATATTTTTTAAATTTATTACATTACTGGATATAATGTAAGTAAAACTTATAAAATAATAATCAAATGTTTTTATTAAGTGATATACTTACAAAGGGGAGGCTACAGTCAGTGGGTCACCGATTTCTCATTAAAAAAAAAAAATTTTCTTCCACATTGCTACATCGTTTTGTAAATAATAATGTTAAAGTTTAATTTTAAATAACATGTTAAAGGTTTAATGTAAATATTCCTTTGGGCGGGAATTGTGAATATTCCTTCCATTTATCGGGGAACTAGGTTATTTACTCGTGAATATTAAAACAAATCCCCGGCCCTGGATATAGACTTTTTGAGGGTGTTTAACTTTTGTTTGGAATTCGGGAATCTAATACCTTTGTGACGCTGAGTGACAAGAAACAGTAAGAATATACATATAGAATGTGGGACTTAGTAAATACACTTTGAATGAATTGACTCCCCTGGTTTGTTATTCTTCAATTGTGAGGCATATAGAACAATTAAATAAAATGACTTATCACTCCTGTCTAACAAAACAATTTATTTTGACAACTGTAATAAATGAATCTATTAAAGTCTTATAACTGTAGGCTTGATATTCTTAGTCTTCAGTGTAGTAGGCTTCTCTTCTCAGGTAACGTCCTTTCGCCTCCGTCTCCCAGCCTCAAGTGCCTTCTCTTCTCTCCAGCGTCCTCCAGCTGCTGCTACCTGGCCAGATCTTTTTCCTTCTTCATCGATTGTTTATCGATATGAGACTTTTCAATGAACAATTTGTCCACTGCACAATTGAGTACAATTCACAGTGCAACCTCACATTCCTATATATTATATATTCCTTCTCATTTTCCTCACACAATGCTACATAAAGGAGTAAATATTGGGGGATGTCTACTACAGTTTGGTCCATACTGTAGCTATATGCAAAATATAATATTTATACAAAACCGATCTGATATCTAGAGTAAATATTTTTTTAGAGAGAAATAAAATCGATATTCATTTTTCGCCCCTCAAGAAGTCCTTGAATATAAATTTTTATATCAATAGAAAATTTTTAATTTTCTGCACGAAACTTTTTCTCTGGACCTTTCAAAATTTTGTCAACCACAATAAAACTTGTAATTTTAGAACAGCGCCACCAATATACACAAAAATTGTACAAAAATGACTTCCTTAAACAAATCTTAACCAAAGATATAATATAAAAATGATGGAGTTGTTTTTCTTAATTTCTAATTTTAAAAATAATGAAATCTATAAGTTATCAATGTGGGTTACAAGAGCAGTAATTGAGCTTTCCAACAGTTTATAAAAGTTGAATTTGGATAAAGTCTTGAGAAGTTATTGATGTTTCAGTTATCGCCCAGAAAAAAAATGAAGTATTAAATTTTGTAATTTTTTATTTCTATAAAAATTCATATTCAAGAGTTTCTAAGGACTCTAAAAAACGAATCTAAGTTGATTTTTCATAACAAAAATTTACTTGGCTTACTTTACTGGAAGCGCCTTAAGGTTTTTGTAATTTATGATACATCATAACTCATTTAATATAATAGCCATTTTTTTTTTTTTGGCCTTTTCCTACACAAAAAATTAAATCAATTGATATACGATAACCTATAGATCTGAAAAACAAAGGCAAAAATAAATAACATAAATTTTATTTTAATCCTAGGAACCATTGGAAGGAATGCCAGGACATGTGTCAAGTATTTTTTGATGTAGCATCACTGAAAAAACATTGGTTGAAATCGGTGACCCAATGACTGTAGCCTCCCCTTGTTTGTGAAATTCAACATTTAAATGTCTAATTTGAAACTTGTAGATTGGTATGATGAGCAAGCTAGGTCTTGGCAGTCAAGACTTGGTGGAGGAGGTGGAATAAGTTTATACATCTGTGGCTTGAAAAGAATCAGCATTGGATTTGTACCAATGTCATCTCTTAGCTTCATGGGATCAAGTGTCAAATTATACTATGAAATATATTTATTTTTTATTTTTTAAATTATGGTGGCATTTATAGTCCTGAGGCGCAATAGTGCGCAATATCTCTTGTAAATTTTTAATTAAATTTAATGCTTAAACTTTATCTATTGTTTAGGTACTTTTCTGGGAAAAAAATCATTCTTAGAGCACAACGTCCTATTGGAGTAGGTCAGTTGGTTTCAGAGAATTATGGACCAATATTTACTATAAAAACAAAGGACCAGGTTTGTTGATCCGATTCTTAATAATATTAATAAAAAAAATAAGTATTTAAAAAGTTGTTACTTAACTAGTCTCATGATATTGATAGGGCCTTGTTCCATGCTTAATCCTTCTAGAGAAAAAAAATCGTGACAGTGGTTTTCAGAGAGAAATGCTATGCTCTGCTCCATATAAATGATTAATAAATATAATAAGTTTTTAATTTCCTCAATTTGAAGTTTAATTTTGTTTTAAAATTATTTATTCTAACCATTAATGATATTATATTTAACTATCACTTTTACACTATTATTAGAGGCAGAAAATGTTAAAAGGAAGATATTTGTTTGATTGCAAATGTATTGCTTGTAAAAAGGACTGGCCTAAGTTAGAAGATATGGTTCCTGAAAAAGTTTATTATAGGTTTGTTTTATTTCTAATTTAATGAATATAGATATTCAAATGGTGATCTGATTCATGTCAATCTCATACAGGTGTAAAGCTCCAACTTGCTCAGGTATAATTACTGATAACAATATGTGTGATTCATGTGGAAACAGCAGTTCATTGGAAGATGCTAAACTTCTGTATGGCACTTATCAGAAAGATTGGGAGAGATGTGTGGAGTTGATAACTAATGGAAAATTCAGAGAAGCAGAAAAGGTTTGTTTAAAATATTTAATGAGGCATTATGCATCAGTTTTAGTTAAAATATAACAATATTTTGGATTGTTAAACATATTTTTTGTTATTGTCAATGGTGAAATTGGCATAAAGCAATGCATGTAAAACTTTTTTACTTAACTTGGAATAAACATTGGGATTGGGTCTGACCTCGTTATAGACATGGTGTTAAGGTATTCATAATAATTTTGCTTCTGATTTCCTGAAGTAATTTGTGTATATGTATGTATATATAAACTTCAAAAATAAAATTATTTTATTCATTACAAGATTACAATATAAAAGTATTAGCTCTTTTATATATATATATTTCTTCTTCCCCCCCCTTAATCTTGTTCACTTCGACTTCTTAAGTTATGAGTCTTCTTCAGTAGCTTGGGAGTGTTGTAGGTGATTGTAGTGATTGCTTTGTTCTAATCTTCTTTGAGATATCAAGGGAGTATGTGGTTTACTAACTGGACGTGATCACATTTCACTCCCTCTACATCAGGAACTTTACTGCGGGATGGTTGGCAATCATTTGCTTCAATCTTCCAATCAGTTTTTATGGGATCGGGGATTATCAGCCCTATACCCAATCTCCAACCTGGAGGACCAGGTTTAAGACACAGGGGTCGCTAACCTCCCTATGAATCTCAGGGTGGGGATGTCACCGTCTCCATGCAGAAATCTAATCCATGCTGTAGTAGTAGAGTAGGAACTGCACTTAATTATTTAAATTTATTATTAATTATTATTATTTTTTTGTGTGTGTGTTCCCGTTAAAGGGATTTGAACCCTTAATATAAAATTTTTGCAGGCGCCTTAACCATTAATCACCATGACCCATGCTCTTTCATATTATAAATCAGCTACGTTTCTGGCCTTAGATTAATTTTCAATTTATTTCCAAAAAAAAAATTCATTATAACAATTTAAAATCTAATTCAATTGCAAATTTTGACATTTAAATAAATAAAGGAAGTAACTTTAAAATGAGTCTAGGGCATAGCCTCCCGACCCCTAAGTCTTTCTAAGAAATAAATAAGTAATTTATTTATAATTATTATAAATAACTAATTAATACAGCCAGACTCCAACCTGCCTCTTTGAGGATAGAAGTATAGTAATCCGTGATACGGAGACCTTTTCATCAAATTATTAACATTTGCCTAAAACTTCATGAATGGCTTCATCTTATCATAACATACAAATCTTTATGTACAGAAATTCTCATTCTCACAGAAACAGAGCGTTTTCTCATTAAAACAATTAATTTAATTAGGTACTAAAAACTCATAAATACCTATTTACTTTCCAATTGAATCGTAAGATAATTTGATCACAAAATCCATAAAAATGTGACCTAAAAAATATTGAAATATAATAACTAAAATTGGTCTATTAAGCCTATATAACCTCGTTATTTTGACAGGCTTAGGATTTAGGTTACGCTAAATGGCCCAATATTTTTGTAGGCCACCTTCTTTTTTATTCCGATTTTGTGGTCGAATTATCGTACGATTGAAGTTGAAGTGTGTTCATGAGTTTTTAGTATCTAATTAAATAGGCATTTGCAGACCTGAAGATAGAAAACTATTCTAAGAATTTTCATAAATAAAAGAGTAGTAGGTTATGATGAGATAAAGCTATTCAGCTGTTCCAGTGTTAATAATATAATAAAAAGGGCTCTGTAGCACAGATGACAACAGTGATATCTCACTGCTCCTAATCAAATTATTACTCTTAATGGAGGCGTGTAAATGGCAGTTGGTGGTATCAGCATTGAACCTTGGGGTTTCAGTTAGCCTTTTATTGATTGTTGTTGATTTTCTTTCTTTTTTTTTTTTTTATTATTTTAATGAATTAAACTTTATTCCATCATAGATTTAATTTAATTTATGTGTTACAGATTGTTGTTGAATATGTAGAAGGTATGTGTAAATTAGTTGTACAACCATCTAAAAATCTGTGTTTAGCAATGGAAGCGTTAAGAACAATATGGGCTAATACTAATGGCAATGTTTCTATGTTACAAAATAAATCAAAACAAGCTGAAACAAAATGAAGTTTTCTAGATTAGATTACTTTCAACTAACTTAACTAAAATTATTGTAAACCTTCTCGTCCCCAGTCTTATATCAACAAACACATTTCCATAACCAATACCCAGAAACAGAGAAAAACTTTTAGATTCTTACATAAACCATACAACTAAAGGTCCTCCTTCTCTTAATCCATCACCATCTACAACTTCCTTTTTCTTATACACTTCTTAACATCTATTCCCAACTTAACATTTCAGCCTTAAGCTTAGTTGTTCCTCTAACTTTATTTCAACGCTCTGTCTAAAAGGAATGCTTTTATTAAACATTAAAAAGGACTCCTTTCATCCAATTTGACCGTAGAGATGCTTCTATAAAATGATAACCTTATTGTAAATTGAAACATTCCCATTACTCCTTTTTTCTACTTTATGCTCAACCCATACTTTAACATGTTTTTCCACAAATATTTAAGAGAAGAAGAAACCTAAAACTGGCTCTACAATCTAATTGGCTGAAAAGAGTTCTTTTTTCATTGAGTTTCATAGAAGTATTTCTTTTTGAGGGGACATTAAAATTATATTTGAGGAAGAACTATGCATACCACCCTAAGCTGATGCATACCCCAAAATCAGCCTATTTTTTTTTTTTTTTTTTTTTTTTTTCCTAACATGAAGGATCATATACCTTTATAACTCCAATCTACTATATATATATATATATAGTATATATATATATATATTTCAGTATTATATTATATATATATATATATATATATATATATATATATAATATAATACTGAAATTGTCCCCATTTTGGTAAAATCAAAAGCCAGCTAAAAACTCGAATTCTCCTATTTCAAGTTTCGAAAACTCCTAACATAAATCACACATAACCCATCTCCCTCCAAACTATCAGAACACACTTTGACCCTCAACCATTCTTTCATCTTTGATGAATCTTCTATCCTTGGTACTCTTCCCAACTATGAAAAAAAATTATTTCCAAAATCTATCCATAACTTTCTTCAACCAAACCCAGTTAATCATAAAGTAGATGAAAATTAGATTGATCTTATCAATAGATATATTTTAAACCTAATCAGAAAGCAATAATTTATTCTACAATCCCATAAGACTATAACTATGACTCCTCTCTCATGTTTACCTCATTTTCATTAAAAACTTTTACTTTAATTGTTTTGTTTTTTTCATTACTTTTGTTTTTTATACAGTTTATATATTTCAGTCATTGTATTATCTTTCTTTTTTACTTTATATTTATAATTGTATTTGTACCTAAATTTATATACTCTCATGCTCTTTACTCATATATATTTTTTATGGTTATACACATAATCGATAGTTTTTGCCTTTTTAATAATTATAGTTAGTGTTTGATCTATGTATCTTTTAACTTCCTTTAACCTTCTCTTTTCATTTTTTTTTTTTTTTTTATACATATTTGTTTTCCATATAAGTTATGACAATATTTACGTAAGTGTTTATTCTATTGATTTCATGTTTTTACTTCTATTTATTGATTATGCACTTGTGTTGTCAATATCTGCTTATTGTTAACCATAATTTTTCTTATTATTTAAATTGATTGTATCACTATATTTATTTTTTAGTCTTCTTATATAATAGTTTTATGTATATTTTTAAAAATTTAATTATTCCTATATTTTCCATTTCATCCAAAATTTAAATATTGAGATCCTCCCTTCTTCATTCCTTCAAACCTTTTGATGCCTGTGTTATTGCTAGACTGCACACCCTGTCACCAAGATTTATTTATCTCTTACACAATCCTTTGCTTTATTTTAAGCATGATGATTTTTTTCAACTTTCCTGTTTCTTCATCCCTCTATACTTTCAATAATTTCCTGTCTCTTTTTATCCTTATGTTGTTTTTTATATTACGTTCATGATTAATTGAGTTAGTCATCTTTTAATACGTTATCTGTTATTTTTTTATGAGAATATATTTTTTCTATTTATAATTCATTCTATATCAGTTATTACTGTATTACACTTCATCTTTTTGACTACATTTTTTGTTTACTCTGTTAGTAGTTATATCATTTCTTATAGGTGATTAATCTTAAATTTAAACTCTTACGACATTCTTTATTGTTTTGTACTTTGTTGATTTAGTCCTGATGAAGACCTACAGAATGAATAGATTTCAATAAATTGTTTACTCTATTTGAAGTTTTTTTTTACTCTTTTTTTTTATTTTTTGACTGCCACCTCAGATCATCTCTTCCCTTACTTTTCTCATTATATTCATGGTGAAATAAAAAATATCCAAACGGATAAAAAAAAATTACTTGACAGGTGTCTTTCAGTTTGATAACTTTATGTTTATTTCACCATAAAAAATATTTTTAGTTATTTTTTCCCAACACTACATTTTCTCCACATGATCCAGACAAGTTAACAACATGTAGTTGTATAATTGTACATGTGAAAAATATTCTTCTCTTAAATTGAATCCAATATGCCCTTAAACATTTATATATGCATTTTATATAAGTGCTGCACAAATAAATAGAGTAACTTACAAAAAGGGAATTTTTGAAATTGAACTAATGCTATATTTATTTAAATGAACTTTTTTTATGCATTCTGGGTATCCCACTTAAATAATAAAAACCTTGTACCACAATAGGACTTCATGAGGCCGCTGTGCATCCCCATGTTGAAAAAAGAAGAATTTTTATAAGTGGTATATTTATCTTTCTATTGGATTACTGTACAATTGATAATCTACCTAATGAAAATTAATATGATATTTATAAAGTCAAATTTTATTTAGAATTCTATAGTATTTGAGTATACCTCTAAAATCAGTAAGTTAATGAGATTTATTGATTTATTCTAGCTTTTTTACTTTCACTTAGCTATATATGTAATATATATTAATGAAAAGAATTGAGATCATGAAAATTTTTGAATCTGAGTTTTTAACGGAAATACATGTTTTGATGTCCCACTAATCTAAGTAACCAACTCCTGAAAAATGGTCTGTGTTTACAGCCTAGCTCTGGAAAAGTCATATGAAACTGATATTTCCTCTTTAAGATAGTTATATACCTGGGATATTACAGCAACTTTTTCTTTGTGCTACTTTATATCATCGATTCTCTACGTTTTTACAATTTTCTCGAAAACGCCTCTAACAATTTGATTAAACTTGGTGTATCAATGTATAATCAAATGAACTTTTATATCAGGTAGGTCTTATCCCCATTGATATTGCTTAAATGCCCAATGTTCAAAATTTCTTCCTCTAAAGTATCTTTAATTTAGTTTATTTTAAATAATTAACTTTCACTTATTGTTAATAGTAATAAAAAAAAAGGCTAAATATAAACTGTAAAAGAATTTCATGATTGACTAAAGAAGAAAAAGTAAAAAAAATTTATTTAAGTCATAAATGAATTTCCGGAAATAATAGTCAGATTGTATTTAATATATCAATGGAAAGTTGATAATTTTAGAAAAACAATATCTAACATGCAAAGTCATAGAAAATAATTGAGAGTGACAAAATAATTTTAAATAATAATTTCTGAAAACTTATATTATTTAACGAAAACCTCATACCTCATGCTTCCAAGAAAATTAAATGAAATTTCTTACCTAAATGTAGACTTTTGAAATTATTTTTATGTTTGAAAAAAAGCATATAAAATTCACCAAATCTAGATAATGACATTGTTAAAAAACTATTCATATTCTGCAATTTAATAACTCTAGAACCTATATTATATTCAAATAATGGAGTATCTATTGTTGGTTTATTTCAAAAAACCATCATGTAACATTTTAGAAAATTAAATTAGTGCATAATTTGATGAATTTTCTCTCCGTGGAATCCCAAAATTATCCTCTTACAATTACTATGACAACTGTTGACCTATATATGGTAGGCAATAAAAAAGTCATAACTCCATTCTAGTAAACTTGACAATGGAAAAATAAAAGTTTAATAACTAATATTAGTACAATACATAAACATTTACAGGTTAATATACAGACGTAATTTTAAATCTTTCTTGGCAAAAATAGCATTGAGACTGGAGTTATATGGTTTACAGATTAGTTGTAAGAATTAAGGTATAGCTTCATTAAAAATGCACTTCAAAAACTTTGTAATAGCCCAACATTGCCAGAAAATTATTTTTATTCAAAATAGAGCGGAAAGTAAAAGCTGTGTGATGCACACATCAGATTTTTTGTTTTAAATTAATTAAATCATTTCTCTTTTTTGTTATATCAAGAGAATACCAATAAACTATCACATTATACTAATTATTAGCAGCAGAAGTAGGATAGAGAATAATCAAGATCGACAACAGAACCAATAGGACCGAAAACTATGGTATCTCAACACCAGCATTGATGCAGATTATAACCTCTACTAAAGAAAAAAGAAGTACAGCAGCAAAAAGGAAAGCTTAGGAAGAATGCAGAATGTAGAAACAAAATAGATGAGAATTTCCATGAAAATCAAAAGCTATTTAATAGGTCTATCCAAATTATGAACTGAGAAAAAGAACTTTCAATAAAGCACATCCAAAACAAGAAAGGGGACTAAGTAACCCAAAACACTTTATGATGAACAGATGGGCTGAGTATTTGAAGAACTACTAAAAAAAAAAACAGTAGGAACAGATAAAACAGAACGTCTGTGAAAAATCAGCCAGGAAGAAGACAATTTCAAAAATGAAAGAGGTTATATCAAGCCTCAAAATAAGGAAATCTTAACATGTTTCATCGATTTAACAAAGACTTCGACAGGATCAGAAAGACACTTTTAAATAAGCAGCGAAATGTCAAGTAGCTACACATCAAGAAAATTTGAAACTAATCCAGGCATTAGATAAGGGATGTAGCATGGGACATCTACTTTTCATCACAACTCTAAACACGGCTCTGAACAGAGCTAAATCAAAGTTAAGAACCTACTACTTGAGACACAGAAAGAAACCTTAGGCCAATACATCTTGGTCTTCTTGTATTTGCAGATAACTTAATTTTATTTGCCAAAAACTACAGTAATCTCCAATTCAACATTATATTCTTCAGAAAGAAATGGAAACTATCGACATGACTATAAACGCAACAAAAAGAAGTATAATAAGAATATGAAGAAAAAGCAAACAGAGGAATCAAGTTATAAGACTGACATGGGTCTATATACAGTGAAATAATTAAAAGAATATAAACTGCCAGCAGGTGTTTCAATTCCCTTAAAAATTGTTTTAGGAAAAACGAAGCTTCAAAAAACTCCTTATTAATTCTGACCAACTCAATTGACACTTAGAGTCTCACCACAAAACACAAGAGCCTACTTTAAGCTATGGAGATCCAGTACTTAAAAAGAGTGGATAGGGAGATAAGAAGAGACCAAGTTTGAAATAAAACAACAATGTCAAACCTAGGGCTTAGGCCAGCTGAGAATTGCATCGAGGAAAATCAGCTGAGATATTTAGGCCATGTTTGAAGCAACCCTGGTGACCTTTGACGGAAAAGGATTAGAATAGGGAAGAAGACAGTTTGGTTCGGGAGAGAGATTCCTGGAGCAAGCACAATCAAAGGGATCCTCACACTGCTATCCAATAGCATTGAGGCGAATTAAATAGGCTTGTAAAATTGTTGGAATTAGTAACGAATGAATTCCTAAAAGGTTAATATTTGCTGTGCCAACTGGTGCACGTCTGAGGGATACACCGAAGTGAAGATGGGAAAATTGGGTTATGGACAATCTGGAGGTACTAGGTTTGGACGGCGACCGGTAGAGAGAGGTGTATAATAAGCGATTGGTGGTGTCTACATAGAACCTTCGAGTTCGCTAAGCCTTTTATTATTATTAGTGTATTATATTAATTACTCTAGCTATTAACTTTGTAAATTTTTATCGGTTTAATTGAAAGTATATCTGTAATACTAAAATTGTACTGCTTATTTTATTTTATTGTTTTATACTTTTTATTTATTTTATTAGTCACTTTATGTTATAACTTATTTATATATTATAATTGTTGATTAAATGTAATTAAAATACTAAATGTAGATTGTATCAGACATGTATATAAATAATATATTGTATGAAGCATGTTGTAAATAAATGAATTTCTCACAGGGTTAATATCTTACTTTTTTCTTCATATATACTTGTTTTCATACACGACCTAGAAGTCAAAGTACTATTACAGAGCCACGGCACACACATTCCTATTATTTTTACGAAAAATAAGTTTCCATTAATGCACTGTAATGCACATTAAATCATGGGGAAACAATGTTTCATACTGAAGTAAAAATGCAGTAGGTAAAAGTAGGTGGGATAGCAAGGTTGTAAACTTAAGCTTTTGGTCAAACTTGTGTTTCTTTTCTTTGAAATGCACAAATACTTATAATAACAAACATATATTACCCTTGCTAACATTTAAAAGGATCGTTAAAATGTTTTTGTAATTTGGAAAGGAACTTTTGGGAATTAGAAAATGTATAAAAGGTAACCAGAAAAACCTCAAATAATCACAGCTTGTCCTACACAAAACTACTACTGTAGGAAATTGAACAAAAAAAAAAAAAAAAAGCTCATTCATCACTTCTGACTACTTCATCATGTAGAACGTAGAGATTTGTAAAGAAATTTTAGTAATTTAAAATAATTATAAAACTAAAATAAAAAATATTTGGAATTTCCAAGAATTTAAGTAGGTAAAAAAATGCTAGATATGTACCATTAGTTTTTATTCAGTAATAAATTATATCTAAGAAAAAATTTGTTACTATTTTCTAATATATCACAACACTAATTATGGCTTAACTTAACACAAAGTCTTTTAACAGTAGCATCACAACAAGTATTTAAGCTGCTACAATTTATATACAAAATAAACTTTAAAATAACCATCAAATAGTGTCCTTTACAATTATTCAATGAAAATAGTAGTGATCTATTTGTCTAACAACATTCTGTGTTTAATATGAATAATGATGAAACTACTCATATTATTTTTTGAATAGTATTCTTTGACTTAATTATCTACATTTTGATTTATTGTAACATTACAAGTGGTTATTAAGTGTAAATATCTAAACTGCTGATGGATGTTCTATATTTTTTTTTAAAAATTGAGGAGTCCATAACTACTCTCTAAGTGTGACAATTTTCAACATCAACTTTAACAAGAAAATACTGAACAGAGAAAAGATAACACGAACATATAAATAAATATAAAATTCAGTCTATATATAATTTTAGGTGTCAATCCTTGTAATTAATTCTATTCTAGGGATACAAAAGTCACATTTATAAGATTTAAGATGGAATAATTAGATTGTACGTTTTTTGAGACAAATTTGAATTTTAAAAAAATCAATAAAAAGTAAAAAAAAGTAATTTGAATAGTTCATAAACCTTCATGCTATTAATGTGGCTGTAAACACAAGTAGTTATTAAGTACTAAGTTATCTTAGTAACTAAATCTATCATTCATATGAAAGAACATAATTTAAGATTCAATCTTTTAGGTTATCATATTTACAATGATTCATTTAAGTAATATATTATTATTAAATCACAATCAAAATGTCACCATATATTGTCAGAATCATACTACAGTACGTATGTTACTCAATATTCTTTATGCAATAACTGATGTGCATTTAAGTATTAATCTAGGTATATTGAAATATATTTACCTAATTTATTTATTTAATGGGTAGATGTATTATATAATTATTACGATGAATAGTAAAAGCGTCAACATTAATATTGACAAAATATTTCTTATTTTAATAATTTTTTCGATATAAAGAAACACCCCATTATTTAACTTTTCATGAGATCACAAGACATACTGAATCAGTTGTTATCTAATAGTATTGGTAATAGTAAGGTAGCTAAATGTGGAAGATCAGCCATAAGTAAGCAAAATCTCATTATCTTAATTTTATATCCCAGTGAATTAAATACATAAAGTGTTATGTATTATTAAACTAATATGAATTTTATTTTTGTTTTTTTATGGGATACTATGTAATATATATGTAAGTTATAATCTTCAGTAACAATCGTGATTTGAGATTAGCAGGAGAAGAGAGTTCAAGTGAGGGTTTTCCAGACTATTAGATGTCCAAAAACTTTATAGGACATGGTTTTGTGCGAAACTACATATCTTCGGTAACAACTTTAATCCCTTCTGTCCCTTTTTTGGTGTTCTGGAAACTGCTGAGCATGTTACAACCAGAAATGCTTTTAAGGCAATAAGGGATGAACAACTTAGGAAAACAGGAAGCTATGTGATCAGAGGGCAGTGCCCGCCTCTCAGCTAGTCAGGACAACTAGTTATACTTCAAATTTTTTGGAAGCAAGAAGTGGAGCCAAACCATTCTATTCCCTTCGATAAAAAAGAAATATTTGGAATAATAAAGTAAAAAGATGAAAGAAAAATGACAATTGACATGGGTGGCAGGAGCTACTTCAGGCACCCTTATTTATTAATAAGGCCAGACATTTTCTATGTGTTGCTCGGCTGCAGACTTAAAGGTCTTGTTCAATTGGACCTCCTTTTCTCAACAGATAATCAGTCTGAAAGAAGAGTGACATCTATGAAAAACAAAGAATAAGATTTTTATCATCCATTAATCTGAACATTTGCAGTAAAGTAATGTTCAAAACTTTCACATTTATAGCTAAACTAAAAATCTCTAGCTCATTACTTTTAGCATGTTATTTCTCCAGATTTGTTTTAGAGGGGGAAAAAAGCTGAACAAGACCTTTAAGTCTCCAGCCGAGCAACACATAGAAAATGTCTGGCCTTTGTTTAGTATTACTTATGACCTCTCAGTTTTGGGCATTTCACAGAATAACAAAATCGGTTTTAACATCAGATCTTTAATCCCTTTGGGTATTCCACAATTTTTGGAAACAATCCATGGAATTTGATACTTGAATAACATGATTAACTTAAATTTCTTTTTTGAAAATAATACAAAATTCACCAAACATTTAATTAAATTAATACTGTCCATAACTTAAAACAAAACAAAAATTCACTAATAATACTTTCATTGTTATTTATATTCTTAGGTGAATATATTTTATATGTCTCAGAGGAGAAAAAAACATATCATGAAAATTCAATTTTCTGTTATCATAACAGTGTTCTTTAATATTAGTAATTCTAGAACTACTGGTAATTTCATTAAATTGCAGTTCTGGAATCATATTCAAATCATTTAAAGTAATTCTTTGATTTGTATGGCACCACATCATCACTATTACCACAACCAAAGTCAAAGAATCATCTTTAATTTCATACAGTACCATAAAATACTTTACTTATATTCAAGATTCTGACATTAATGTTCAAGAACTTAAGAATAGTCCAATTTATGGTATTAGTAACAATCTTAAATATTTTGATTACATTACTTAAATATACATATACATATATTTCAATTATTGATCATCTGTAATTTAATCAAATTAGTTTCTTTACTATCCTTAAATATTTTAATCACTCATTCCTCCATCGAATTAGTTGTTTCTCAATCGAACAAATCCACAGGTTTATATAGATTTAAGAATAGTAAATGTCTTATAAACCATCATTTTAGTTAGATGCATCAAAAATAAATTTAAAAAACAGAAACTTTATACTTCTAGATGAATTTCTAAATAGGGGTTATCACCTTACTTGGTGTATTATATGGACCATAAAATCCGTACAAAAGTAATGTTGTATCAGCAAGCCTTTACATTTTGATTATAATAATAATATTTTTAAACTTATTGTAAATTCAACTAATAAAGAAATTAATTTGGTTTACTTTATTAGAAAACAGTAGTAAAAAATAAAAATGTCAGCTGGGACAGTTTACGGTTACTTAGGGTTCACCATCACTCCACCCTCATGGTTGTTAGGGATCTGAAAATAAAAAGAATATTTAATTAACACAGTTCAAGCCATTTATCTTAAAATTTAGAATTTAAATTTAGTACTTCATATAGTTAAAAGGGGAAAATGGTGAATATATATGCTATATATATTTATAACATGCTATATATATTTATATATTTATTTTCCTCTGCATTGGAGCGCGGAATGTACTGCACGGGAGTCTTTCTCGACGTTGAACAACCGTTTGATAGAGTCTTGCATCCGGGACTGATGTACAAACTCCGTAAATTCCTACCACCTACATACTTCCTCATTATCCGTTCCTACCTTAGTGATAGATCCTTCAAAGTAAATCAAAAAAATGCCTGTTCATCTCTTTTATCTTAGTTTGCTGGTGTTCCTCAAGGTAGTATCCTAGGTCCTATCCTTTACACAGTTTATACAGCTGACATTCCAACCCATCCCAACACTGTCATCACCACCTATGCCGATGACACGTGTATCCTATCAGTTAACAACGATCCATCAATTGCATCCCAAACTCTCCAATCACAAGTCTTGAAGAATGGTGTCAAAACTGGAGGATTAAAATAAACTCCAATAAATCCCATCAAATTACCTTTACCCTGCGTCGCAAACCTATGACCTCCTGTCCTACAGTATTCTTTAACAATTCCCCACTTATCCCAGTTGAACAAATCCGTTACCTTGGACTCCACCTCAACAAACGACTCACATGGAATCCTCATACAAGACTGAAACGACAAGAAACCGCTAGACGTTTCCGACTACTCCAACACTTACTAGACAAACGCTCTAAGCTTTCAATCAATTACAAACGACTCGTATATATGACAGTAATAAGACCTATTTGGATTTACGGAATTGAGCTCTGGGGCTCCACTAAACCATTGAATTCATCTCGTATCCAATCCTTACAATCCAAAATCCTTCGTAAAATCCTCAACGCTCCTTACTTTGTCACAAACAAAACCATCCATAAAGACATTAATGTTCCATATGTTTCCGATTTGGCCCAATCCAGATACCTATCCTTCCATAACAAACTGCAGAACTATCCGAATCCCCTTGTTTCAAACCTTGCTTCCTCCTTGATCCCTGATAACCCTCCGAGGGGTCTGAAAAGAAGACGGCCTCGGGATCTTCTAATATAGAATTTTAATTTGAGTTCTACCAATGGGTAGTTTCTCTTCATGTTTTACATGTCATGTTACCAATGTCACATTTACTTGTTGTATTTTTAATGTAATACAGTTGTAAATTTCATTAAAATAAAAAAAAATATATATATATTTATTATTTTACCATTTTAACAGGTTGCTGTAAGACATTCTTTTGTTCCTTTTTGTTTCTTTCCGCCTCATAGTCAAGTTGTTCTCCTTCATCATCTTCTATTATCAAAATGAAAAAAATAAAATGATTTAATATTTAAAATAAGATAATATAAACATCAATTCATTTTGAAATTACAATTTCTTCATTGCTTAAGAAAGTAAATATATCAAATATTTGATGATTAAGTTTGAAAAACATTTTTTGATGATCGAAATTATATAGAACATTTTCTGGAAATAAAGCATTTAAGTGATGTATAAATTGAGTTAATCATTTTGAAGTTCAATTTAAATTAATATTTAAGCCTAATAAATACTTTTAGGTTAGTACTGATTATTGGCAAATTTTAAAAATTGAAGTAAGTTTTATTTTCACTTGGTTTTACATTTATGACTAAATTTTGTTTGGTAAAATATTGTCTCAGAAAGGGCTTCATTTTCTTTGATAATCATTTAAAATAAAACAGCCTTTTGTTTGTGTTTATAGTCAAGAAAAATTTGTTTTTTAAGTCAGTAAAGCTTCTGTTTATAATATTATTCTTTTTAAAGGTAATAATTTTTTTTATCCATAAAATATTTTTGATAAAAATTCAAATAAAATAACTGCTGATTAAGTTACCTTCATCATCTGGTTGTTCTCTCTCATAATCAGCTCCATGGTAATTTTCTCCATTTTTTATCCTGGGTATTTCACCTCTGAAAAACAACATTTATTATTACTACTTTCATTAGTAATGAGTGCTGTTATTACCAAAGATTTGTCATCTAATTAACTAATTAAATTCACTAATGAACTGGGCTGCTTGTTTGTCCAGCATATTTGGGATAAAACCTAACGCCAGCCAATGAGGTCGGTCCTAGTGTTTTTGCCAGGAGGAAAGTTTAATTTTGTTGTCTCTTCTTTCACCTCTCATCTCTTTCTCAAAAAATTCAACAGTTTATAACAATATTTCAGGTAGTGCAACCTCAGTAGTCAAAACACTCCAGTAATCCATATTTTTTTGCAAATAAAACATAAATAATAAATGAAGGAAGGAACAGTGGATGGGAAGTTTTGTCAAGGAAAGGGAAAAAAAGAGACAGAGAGCAAGAAACAAATTTTTCCTGTAAGGCTTCTGATGTTTCCTACGTTTTCTTGAAATCCATCCATTTCTGAGACTTATTTTACTATTTTTTTTCTAATAAAGCTTTTGAAAAATTAATTTTTCTGTTGCATTCTGTATATATTTCTTTTTAACAATATTTATAATAGGACTAGGAATATGGGTGGGGTCACATAATGTCCGTTTCGTTAAAAATAAAAGCTGATGGAATTTTTCATTTTCCATATAATTATTAATGAACAATTAACTTCTTCATTTTATTTTTGTTTATTTTTTCTTATCTCCAGTTTCATACATGTTTCGTTTCTAACATATGTTTAACATGTTCCTTGTACTGTATCTTAGATACATTTTAAGGTCTTGCTGAGCCTTTCTTAGCTCTGTTTATCTTTATTTCTGGACTTTCAATCGGGGTACTTTTTTTTTTTTTTTTTTTTCTTACCCTCCAAAATGTTTATTGAAACAATTACATATATAGTATACAATAATACAATATATACATGCAATAAATTCCTTCCACTGCCCGAGGGCATGACTTATTACTATATTATACTTTTTTATTAAATATGTATTGAACAAAAATACTACGTTATCGAAGATTTGTTGTCGGGAGGAGACCTAGTGTAGTAATTTATTGTCAAATTACAAAATAGACTTAAAAAATCATTAGGAATTCGTATTTTAAATCTAATACTCAAGATGGACAAAGATCTGTTGAGAATTACTTTTTCATTTAAACAGAAAATAAAGAAGAAATTCTAAAAATTCGAGCCCTAATTATAACGTATACACGGCTACTAAATGTAAGCAAATGAAAAAAACATACAGTTAAAAGTATTATTATTCCTGAAATTACCGATTTTTTTAAACAACATTTAATAAAGTTTATTTTTTTATAGAATAATTATAATTAGATATATTAAATAAAAATAATTTTAAAAAAAGTCTCCATCTGCAAAAAGTTAAATTCCGAGCACGCTACCACAACACCATTTCAATAACTTTTAGATATCATTTCTTTAAATGCTAAAAACTTCTTAATCCTTTACTTTCTTGTAATTTTTGGTCTAATTTGTTTACTGAGGTCAGATTTGTCCTATTTTATGTATACAGTTCTAAATCTTAAATAATTTTCGTGTGGATTGATGGAGTTCGTTTTGAAGTTATCACAATTGTAGTGATAGTTAAAAAAAATTGAAAGGCTACAGCATAGGCAAAAAAAAATTGATTTTATTATTCCTGCAAAAATCCGAACTATACTACTTGAGCGTTTTTAGAGATTAAAAAACCGATTATCAACTTTTTCCCCTTAAAAAAAAACCTTTACTCTAGATTCCTGGCCAGATCAGGCAAAAGCATTATATTAGATAGACAGCTATGTCAGTATGAGAACACTATTAAATCATATTGGCCCAATCGAAGTAGCAATGTAGTTCTAAAGATTTTTTAAGGAGAAACGTTTAAGTTTTGATTCGTTTAATGCACCTGAAAAAGGCTTGCTAAGTTTAAATTAATTCAGTTTTTATCCTCACCCTCCAGCACTGTTAACATATTTTACAAAACTATAATAAAATCCGATAAAATATGTTTTTTTTTTTTTTGGAAATAGAACAAGATGGCGAGGCGAAAAAATATAGTTAATTTCAAATTAATGCCGCGTGAGTTCTACTTGAGGTGCCATAGACATCTAATTGTAGACTCAATATACTTGCATTATCTCCACATTAGTCACATGATAATAATCTGTTTAATAACTTATGTTTTACGGAAATTATAAGCTTCAATTCAACCTTATGTTAATTAAAACAGATGTTTTTTTGCGTTTAATAAGTCTCTATTATAGATAAGTAAGATCGTCTTAGATACGTGGATGATGAAGAAGAGAAAAGAAAAATATCAAGAATTTTGAAAAGATAGAAAGCATGCCCCACATTCTTACCTCCTGCTTAGGCACTGTATTAGTTTACAGATTATATGTAATATCAAAATTAAGCAAACGTAAGTATTTATCATTAAATTTTAAGTATTAGTATAATACTGCTCACGCAAGTCAAAAAATTTGGGTGTCGTAAATAATCGATGAAAAGAGTTGGGAAATAGTTCAAACAATGGAGGAAGAACAAAAGAAGGTTGCCTTGGAATATGGGCCAAATAAATTAAAGCCATTTCTCTACTTATTTATTTTTTTACTTACCACATAGGCAAGGGAAGTATCATAAGCTGGTCAAATCATTCTCAACTTTCCCACTCTGCATGACAAAAATGGCGAGCTGGAGGTAAAGGGAAAAAAAGCTGATCGAATTTCCGTTTTTTTTTCCTCTTCCCTAAAGCCGTGTTGATCCTAAGACGATTATGCAAAGTGCAAAGGAGCAAAGTTTATGTTACTGTTAAAAAAAAATATTTCAAAAATTGAAAACTATGGCACCTGAGTTACAGAAATTGCACTAACATGCTTTGCGCAGACTGAATGTTCATGTGCGCTGGGTTTAAATGTTTCCGTTCCGGTTGTGGAAGTACGTACATCTATTGCACTTGCTCATGTCCATACCTCAACTAATAGCTCAGCAATTAAGAGAGGTTCCCGCGTGCTGTCATGTGTATGCATTTCGATGCTTTGTTTGTACTACGCATCTTTCAAGAAGAGGAATTGTTTGCCAGCGGTGGTTGTTTCCCGTCAATGCAATTTTTGTTATATTTTTATAATTTACGCTTAGCGAACCCAAAAGTTCGATTCTGATACCATCAATCTTGTCAATTAACTTATATTCACCAACCGCCAGCCAAGCCAACTCAGCAAGATCTGCTTTAACGCGATACTACTACATTAGGTCTACACATCGGAAGCTTGCCATTTTGCACAGACCTATTAAACCTTTTAGGTATAAGCAGCCACGTTTCGCACCTCTAAAAGAAGTATAATTTTTTTAATAGTTAAAATACATATATAGCTTTCCGTTTCAGCTATCAATTGAACACAATTGTTATCTGTCTGAAAAGAATAACCTCATGTAGTTTTTAATGGTTAGAAATAGTGCATGTATATAATATAATAGTACAGTATTATCAATTAATCGGTAAGGTTGTTTGACTCTATACTCTGTTGGTCAATAATCAAAACTGTGTATCAGTTAGGGAAAAAAAAAGGTCTGCAACTGTAAATTTAACAAATTTGAATTATGACTGAATTCGTTTTAGTTCACTCCAATCCTCATTTTTTAAAGAAAAACAAAATAGGCGGTGGTTTAGATTATGAATACAAATTCGACATGATTATTGTGGAACGAACAAATATAATATTGTATGTTTAAAAATAAATTTATATATATGTTTGGACAGTTGTAGGATTTTTTTTATGTGCTTTTGGGTATATGTTGCAATTTGTATACATTAAACACGAGAAGAATGGGAATTGCCTCCATAACAAAGGCACATTTCTAGAACTTTTCCAGCTAAAAATGAATAATGTTAAAAACTGAAAAATACTTTGGATTTCTTATTTTGTACAATCTCTAAATAAAAATAAAACATTTTTACAGTCTGACTATTTCAAAACGTCTATAAAGACAATCTTTATCAAATATATTTATACTTGTACTTATTAAATATATGTTTTCCAATTTTATTGCAGAAAATCACGTGAAAATGAAGGTGTCCACATAAGAGATGAATGAATCATAAAATCCAAGGATATGTTTCTATATTATTATTCCTAAATATGAATGAAAATTTAAATAATAGGAATATTTAGGTCGTGAAAAAATAGTTACACCTACTTATAAGCCTTAGCTAAACCAGCTAGTCGACTTTTCTCAATCGATTTTAGTTTACATGTTTTATTCATTCCAATATCTTATTTCTTATCAATTTTTTTTTACTTATTCTCACCTCCTCAATATTTTTATTACGGGAAGGGAGCGATCGCCCTCCCCCCCTCTCGAAGTCTGCGCCTATGGGAGTATGTTCAATCCGTAGAAAGTTTTTTTTTTTTTTTATTTAATGGAATTTACAACTTTATAAAAATATAACTAGTAAATATGGGCAAATATAAATAATGGCATGTAAAGGCTTGAAGAGATACTACCCAGTGGTAGCATTCTCTAAATAATTTTAAGTAAGAAGATCACGAGGCCATCTCCTTTTCAGACGCCTAGGAGGATCATCAGGAATCGAGGAAGAAGCAAGAGTGGAAACAAGCGGATTTTGATGGGACTGAAGTTTATCATGAAAGGATAAACTCGAGTCCTATCCGGCTCGAGCTAAATCAGCGTCGTAGAAAGTTAAAATTTTAATTTATAATCTAATCACCAAAATTATTTACAGTTTTAAAACTATAATATAAGTACACAAGTTCGCCAGGATGAAACATTCTGCAATGTGATATATATATATATATATATATATATATATATATATATATATATATACCCAGAAAAAGGGAAAGTTTCATTACCCAAAATAATCTAGAGAAAAAAATATTTAAAATATAGCTACTAGCACAAGGACTTAAGAATAAAGTATAATTCATTAGTTTGGGAAAAATTAAAAAATTGGCTTATCTTGTGAGAAATCGATCGTTGAAGATGCATCAATGAA